AAAAATTAAATAATTAAGACAATTTTTATTATCTTTTATGTCTACATTTTTCCCTTCTCTTCTGTCTGAAGCTTTTAAAGGGCATCGTTGAGGGTTTTGTGGGTTTGGGTTTCCTTTATTTTTTTATTCTTTTGGGGGGGTTTCCTTTATTTTTAATTAAACATTGAAGTGATTCATTATATAAAATTTGGAGAGCAGGGGCACCTGGGTGGCTCAGTTGGTTAAGTGTCTGCCTTCAGCTCAAGTCATGATCCCGGGTCCTGGGATCGAGCCCCACATCAGGCTCCCTGCTCAGTCAAGGAGTCTGCTTCTCCCTCTCTCTCTGCAGCTCCCCCTGCTTGTGCTCTCTCTGTCAAATAAATAAACAAAACCTTGTAAATAAAAAATATATATAAATAAATAAAATTCAGAGAGCAGAGTAAAATGTAAAGAAAATGAAAATAAGCCATCAACTCTTCATCCTGGCCAATTTTTTAGTTAATAATATGATGCATGTTCTTCCAGTATTTTCTCTTAAGCGTTTTTTTTTTTTAAACATAGCTGTGATTATTGAAGGCTTTCATTGCAATTATAAAAGGAATTGCAGATTCATTGTTTCAGTGGCTGGGGTGCATGTATAAAACTGTTTTGTTCCGTGTTCCTTTACCTTCATTTTTTAGCAATAGGATTTATCCAAGCTGTCTGTCATTCAGCATTTCCCAATAGTATGTCTTACTTTTGTTTTAGAATATTTATCTTCCCTAGTTGACATGTAGGGTTGATGCAATTTTGAAAATTCTTACCTTTTTCAAACTAACTTATTTCATTGATAAATAGTTGCTGCAGAGAAGATACCAAGCCACAGTGCCATAGTGTCAGAGTTTGGATTTATCTGGAACATACTCACTGTAGACTGGTGAGTGCCATGGGATGTATGATGTCAAGAGAGCATACGTGATGATAGAATGAGACTTCCACAGAAGCAGTGGGGCAGTAGTTCTTCTTTCCCGCTCTCGTGATAATGCTCTTATGGGGTTGGCTCTGAAAGTGATAGGACTAAGGGCGTGCGAATGGAAATTACAGCAAACTGGGAAATGCTGTCATCAGGGAAAGGCTTGTGAACTTATTTAAGCTTCCATCCAAACATACTCTTTATAAGACTGGCACTATTAAGAGCCTTTTACTCAGGATACTCGTAGAGAGCATTTACTGAGTGCTTACCAGATGTCAGGTACATGACATTTACCATCTCATGAAATCCTCTTAACAGTCCTATAAGTTAAATCTTGTTATTCTTCTCATTTTAGCATGAAGAAACAGAGTTATAGAGAAAGTGAATAACTTGCCCAAAGTCAGTAGCTAGCCATTAATGAAGTCAGAAAGTGAACTTTGGCAATCTAACTTGAGAGCCCATTTTCTCAACAATGTTTTACCGTGTTCTTTCTGATAGATTCAGATCAATAAACCTTCTCAAGACTCCATGAGCCTTGTTATCGGTTCCCTGAAAAAGTAACACCAATTACCAGATGCCAGAAATAGAGAGCACTTGTCGGTATTTATTTTTAAGTCTCTGAGAAAAAAACATAAACTTGAAAATTTAAAAATTAAACTCCTTACCTTTTGTCTTTTGAAATGGGCCAAAAGGATTACTGGATATCTTCAATGGAAAATTAAATAGTTGCCTAAGCATACCATTACTTGTATCTGATTCTATAGGTTCTCTGTACTTCTCATTGTCTTTCAGCTCTTTTACAATTCTTATAAGGTATAGATGACTAATAGCTATGCAAATGATTGCTGTCCAAAATCATGCATATGGGTTTCATCTGGGGTAAATGTAACTTATTTCTCTCTGCCTCCCATGGAATAAGCCAGTTTTGCAACTATTTGCAAATTAATTTTAACATACTTAATCTTTATATATGTGTGATTCTTTAAAGTTCATTTGAATCAAATTGTAACATCGACTTCCTCATTAATTAATAAATGAAATAAAATCTTTCTAAAATAAAATCTAATTTACTCTTGTATGAGAATCATGATTATATGCTCTTTGAAAATCTCAAATTCCCATTTCATATTTCTTCCAGTCAGTCTCCATATACTATACATTCTACCTCAATTATATTTTAAACCTGTCGTTTCTATTTCTTTTGCTGATCAGGACCCTTATCATCTCATCAGTGCACTCTAGCAGCAGTCTAACTGATACATAAATGTTTGCTGAATAAATGCGTGAACACCCAGATTTGGGATCAGGATTATAATAGTTGTTGTCAATGATGGGAACAGTTGCACTGGAAATAGCAGGAGATACTAGCACTACAAAAAGGCTGATTTCAAAAATGCTTCTGAAATATGGTTTCATTGATAATTCTTTTTCTGATAAGATATTTTAGTATAATATGCACAATAATATAATTGTTCTTGCACTCAAAATGCAGCTGGCTTTGTAGTGGTTTGATGCCTAATTATATTTCTTTTTCCTTCTCTTCCATTTCATTAGGCATGGCTAGGTAACACCAAGTTGTTGTTCATCATCTAGAGCTTATACTATTGGGGTATTAGAATCAACAGTAATCAATTCAGTTGTTTCTTATATCTTAGGCTCAATAACAGGTTAGGTTTGCCTGGTGGTAGTAGGGGATGGAGAAGGGGACATCATCAATATGCAAAATGTTCTTTGCTATTCAGAGCCTGAAACAGGTGATGGGGATTAAGGTGTGCACTTGTGATGAGTAGCGGATATTGTATGGAAGTGTGGGATCACTATATTGTACACCTGAAACTAATATTACACTGCACGTTAACAAACTGGAATTTAAACACAAATTTAAAAAAAAAAATGCCTTAAATTCCTCTTCCTCCAAAGAATACTTCTCAAAAATGTCTTTTGTCCAAAAGTTGTTTTGTTGTTGTTCTTATTTTTTAAGTATTTCCTCTGGTAGGTACCAACTTTAGTGTCCACTCTTGTATATTCTTGTGGCACCATAAGCTGCATAAACTGTAGGCCAGAAATCCCACACATAATCTGAATATATGAATTTAAGAGGAAAAAAATGCCTTATGTAAATCCTTAAAATTCAGGATGACACCTCAGACTACTGTATGGAATTTAGAAGTCACATGCAGGGACAAGTAATAAAGAGATTTCCACAAATAAGTTCTGAAGGTGAAGGTATACCCAACAATTACCTAAGGTGGTATTGAAAGTATTCTCAAACTACTCTGTTTCCTGAGGTTTCTTTGCACACAAAATGATTAAAGATAATAATCTTTGAAAGGTTCAGAAGCCTTCCTAGTACTTGCATAAGTGTCATAAAGAATAGGAGGGTTTAGGATTCTTGAAAGCCTCAGGAGTATTAAATTTGCCATTAGCAAAATATTTGAATTTGCGAGAACCAGACTAGAGAAAAGGAAAGAGGATTTATCCCCTCCCTATTTAAGTTGAAACTACAAAGGCTATATATGTTTCCATTTTTAACTGTTAAATTGTTACTATGTAAGCATTGTTTAAAATGTCCATTTTTAAAAAAATAAATAAAATGTCCATTTTATCTAGCCACCTTATAAAATGGATAAAATGGCAAAGTATTCTCTCAAAACAGTTTTAAAATTTAGTAAAAACCAAATTAAAAAATTCAGTAAAAATTTTAAATTGAGCAGCTTCAATATTTTTAAATGGTGCTTTAACACAGATGATTCTTATGAATGCCTAAACACAATTAGAATTTATGTATATATCTATTAAAATTTTTTCCCTTTTTATCAAGTTATTGCAAAATATGTTTTAACTAACATAGACCTATTATTAGTTTTCATTAAGAAACTTATCTATAAACTAGTACATAATTACACAGCCCAACATTTTCTAATCTTTTACTTATGAACTCTCCACATTTTAAAAATTTGTTTTGCCCGTTTTTGTATGATATACAATAAAGTGAACTTAAGTGAAAACATTTTATATTAGCATATCAGCAAAGAATAAAATTTAAATGTTAAAATATTTTAAATTTTAATATCTAATAATTTTTAAAATATATACAGATAACTTTAGACTCCTTATTCAGTAAGAAAACAGAAGTGTTTAATTTTCTTTGAATTATACAAGACAAAGCCTACTTTGTCAAGAATAATATTTAAAATGAAATATGTTTATTTTGGAACTGAATATATGTTCTTTAACATATATTACATATGTTAAATTATTTATTAGTGTGTAACTACATATTATATATCAAAAAGAGCAAAAACACCTCTCATGAGCTTGCAATTTTAACATATTCTTTAAGAACTGAACTGGTTTGTTTAAAAATTATTTTTTCCATTGATGAGGCAAAATGGTGTCTTCAGGTTATTTCTGAAGATCTTTCCACAAATAAAGTAATTTCTTTGGGGTATAGTAATTATATCACAATATATGGATTACAAGTTGTTTTCTCATTACATGGATTACAAATTAAGTTTTTGAAGTCTTTCTCTTGAAGAACTATTTAAGAATATATATAGCTCCTGGATCTGGTGAAGAATAGTTTTTAATTATAACCATCAAAGAATCAGAACTGCCTGCTTCTTGGTATAACTAAATGATAAGATTATTATAGTAATGAACAATATCAAAATTGAAGACAGTAAACTTTTCCATTACACTATAATATATAATTCTTTCATAAGGATTTTATCAAAATTTTTTTCACAGATAAGACTATATCATGGACAATGAAAGCATTAACAAATCTATTGGGCCTATCAATTTGTTTCATATAATGCACAATCTCAGAAAATTTTATGTGAATAACATTTTATCGTATAAAATTATCCTATCATTTGACAATTTCCCCCATGAATTTCTTATAATAGTGACAAGCTAATTCAGAAATATAGATTATATCAGGGAAGCCTAAAATCTTTCTGGCAACTCTCTTTTTATAAAGTAAATGTATAAATCATTGTGATTTTCCAGGGGCTTTCCAAGAAATTCCAAAGATAATTTTAATTTTAGTTTAAAAAGACATCTAGTGGTTGTTTTGGCAGCACGTGTACCAAATTTGGAATGATAAGAGAAGAAAGCATGGCTTCTGCACAAGTAAAGCATACAATTTTGTAAAGTGTTCCATATTTTTTCAGCAAATATTCACATACAAAGAATGAAGTTGGAGTCTAACATTATACCATATACAAGAGATTAAGTTAAAGTGAACCAAAACTCTTAAAAGAAAACATATGGAAAAAGCTTCATGGCACTGGGTTTGGCACAATGGTTTCTTGGATATGATAACAAAAGTGTGGACAACAAAATAAAAACTAAATTGGACTATTCAAAATTTAAAACTTTTGTGCATCAAAACACACTGTCAGCAGAGTGAAAAGGAAACCCATGAAATGGGAGGAAATATTTGTAGATCATATATCTAATTAGGGCTTAATACATGGAAATACGTAAAGAACTCCTATTCAACAGAGAAAACATCCAGATTTAAAAGTGGGCAAAGGAATTGGATTGACAATTCTCTAAAGAAAATATACAAATGTCCAAAAAGCACAAGACACTAATCACTAATCATTGGAGAAAAAGGCAAATTAAAACTACAATGAGATATCATTTCACAACTATTAGTATAGTTGTTTTCAAAAAACAGAAAGTAACAAGTATTGGCAAGGATGTGGAGAAAGTGGAACACTTGATGTTCCTAGAGCAAATATAAAATGATGCAGCCACTATGAAGAGTGGTATGGTGATTCCTAAATAAATAAATAAACATAGAAATACCATATGATCCAGCAATTCCACTTCTCAGTATACACCCTAAAGACTTCAAAGCATGGTCTTGAAAAGGTATTTGTATACTGATGTTCATAGCATTAGTGAAAGCAATCCACATGTGTCTATTGAAGGATGAGAAGGATAAACAAAACATGGAATGTATATAAGGTGGAATATTATTTAGTCTTAAAAAGCAAGAAAATTCTGACACATGCTCCACATGGATGAACCTTGAAGACATTGTGAGATAAACCAGTCACAATATGACAACTGCTACATAATTCCACTTACATGAACTATTTAAGGTAGTCAAATTCATTAAGACAGAGAATAGAATTGTGGTTGGTTGTCAGGAGCTGCAGGGGAGGGAGGAATGAGGAGATATTGTTTGATGAATATACAGTTTCAGGTGGGGAAGATGAAAAAGTTCCAGAGATGGATGGTGGTGATGGCTGCACAATGTCAAAGTACTTACTGTGCTTAATGCTACAGAACTGCACACTTAAAAATGGTTATGATGGTACATTTTATGTTTTGTATATTTCACCACAATAAAAAAAAATTAAAAAGGCATCCTAAAGATTTTATATTCTTGAATTTAGGACCTGATCTCAAGGAAGCAAAATAAAGAATTATAAGAAAAGATTTGGTCATTTGATTGAGACAGGAGCACAATTACCTGCGAGCAATGACAAGTTAAAGCTTTTTACACATAAATCAAAGTGACAAGAATATATAATAAAAACAGAAGAAGGTCACAAAATTGTCAGGAACTTTAGCTGTTCTGAAAAAAATGTTCTTTTTTGAAGTTCTCAAGAATATAATAAGGAGAATACAAATTAAGAAATTATTCGAGTGACATACAGAATTTTTGCTAAATTTTCAGATTACACAAAAGGTAAAGAATAATCTTTTATTACTCTTGTTAAAAGCAGACCAAATATTCCAAGGTCAATTTGTATTTTCACAGGAAGAAAATAAAATTCTAGTATTGCATTAATTTAGTAAAAAATATAACATATCTTTATAAATAAACACATGAAAATAAAGTAAATTTTGTCAAAATTTTAACATATTTTGTCTGTTTTCTTTAAGTCTCAGATATTACAAAGCATGGCAAAGTAAATTCACTTTCCTCAAATCTTACTATAACTTGCTATACACATTCTAGTTTTATCCTTCATTATGTTCTTTACTATTCTGGAACAAACTGAGCTTTACAACAAATCTGTTTTTCCTCAGAAAACATGCTAGGCTACTTCTTCTGATTGTCAGAGATTGTATTTCTCTTCCATTTTGTATGATTTCATTTTTTCTTAAATTTTTGAGGTTTCTTGTATGACCCATAGTATGGTCTGTTAGATGTTTCCATGTTTAATTTGGATGATCACCATTTATCTTTCTTTATCCTGGGTAATATTTCCTTGTTTTGAGGTCTACGTGATATGATATTAATATGCTACACTAAGTTTTTTTTTAATTGTTGTCTACGTAATAGACCTTTTAAATCATTTTACCCATCTATTGCAGGGAGGTAATAAATTGCAAAGGAGCATGAGGAAATTTGAGGGTTGGTTGAAAAATTCAGTATCTTGATTCGCAGTGATATCATGAGAGTTGTATATCTGTTAAAACTCATCAAATTGTATACTTTAATTGAGTGCAGTTTTTGGTACAAAAATTTCACCTCAACAAGGTTGATTAAAGGCAGGATATACTAATAAGAAATATCTAGGAACTCTCTGAGTATTTGGAAATTCTACTTCCAAATAAACCCTGGATCAGAGAAGAAATCACAATAAAAACCTAAAATATTTTGCACTAAATCATAATGAAAAGACTTCATATCAAAATATGCAAGATGTATGGGGCACTTGGGTGGCTCAGTCAGTTACGTGTCCAACTCTTGATCTCAGCTCAGGTCTTGGTCTCAGAGCTTGAGTTCAACCCTGTGTTGGGCTCCACTCTGGGCACGTAGCCTACTCTAAAAAAAAAGAAAAAAACGAAAGTAACAAAATATGTAAGATACAATGAGAGCAATGTGTAGAGGGGAATTTATCATTCTAAATGTTTATATTAGACATGCAGAAACATCTGACAATATTGATCTAAGTTTCTACCTCAGAAGCCTTAAAACAAAAATTAAATCCAAAGCAAATCAAACAAAAGAAACAGGAAAGGTGAGAACAGAAATAAATGAAATTGAAAATGACCAACAATAGAGAAAATTTATAAAGCAAAAAAAATTTAGAAAGTGAAAATATTCATACAGTTGATAAATCCCTGGATAGGAGACATGCTGTTTGTCTTCTGGGATATGAGCAAACCTACCAAAGAAAATTGGGTATCTTGAAGTTCTAGATAATCTTCTATTTTACTCTGAATATTATTACCATGACAGCTATGGACATTAGTCTTTGCTAACAGCTTTAGGTAAGATTTTGAAGGATGCAAAGATGTTTACTGTGCAAAGAAGTATAGTATATATAGTATATATAAAGTATATACAATATAGTATGAAAGTAAGTATATTCTCAGTATCCATGCAAAGACATCAAATTATATTATGTTCATAGTTTATGAAAAATTATCCAAAATTTGGAAATAAAGCCAAGAGAGTACAGATATATTTTCAATGTTCTACTGGATGATTATTTAATTTAAAAATGAGGATTATTTAATTCCTTAATAAAATTAACCTGGCACTCTTATCTGTGTTTAATTATTCTTTTTTACTATATGATTAGAGCCCTGACACTGTGAAATTCATATTATCTTATCTTATCACGAAGATATCTGCATGATAGAAAACTTGACTTCCAAAACTGTATTGTATTTTTTGTTTCTTACTGTGAATTAACCTGTTTAAATCTAGCCTCGCAATTTTATTCTAACACTACTTTACTCAAGTGCCTATAAATAGATTGTTTCTCAAAATGTTTTTTGAATTAGCTTCAACAATTGCTAATTGCTAATGTTAGGAGACAATTCTCTGGGTCTCTTACATATCTGTGTAGAGGTAACTAACTGCCTTTGCTGTGAATTATCTTTCCAAGAATGTTTATACAGCAAACAGCCTTGGAAGATACATCTATTTGCTTCTAGGCAAAAGCACAATTTTACTTACAGTCTCAGAAGGTAGAGATAGGTCTCCCTCCTGAGCCGGGGGGTCAGGCATGCTTAATGCATATTACCTAAGCTCAGAGTTTCTCTCCTAGAATCCAATCCCACTACATGTGCAGGTATTATCTGTCCTTTTTCATATCACTGTACAGAAATTGTGGTTTGAAGAACTGGCATCAAATATGCTTATGCTCATGCTGCTTGCGAAGCCGTAAGTAATAAATTTCTGTTTGGTTTTTACCCAGGTGTCTTATGTCTTCTTCTAGCATCCCTGAATCCACTGCAGGTAACTTTTTTGCTTTCAAATAGAGTAAAATATCAAAACTCTCATAGTTCTTGTCAGGTACTTTATAATTTAAAAAATTGGATAAAAGGGGTACTTGGCTGGCTCAGTGGGTAAACCACATGACTCTTAATCACAGGGTCATGAGTTCGAACTCCACGTTGAGTGTGGAGATTACTTCAAAAAAACAGAATAAAATTTAAAAATGAATAAAATATTTGACTTGTGTTCATTCTATATTCATATGAGAACTGTGTTTCAATTCTTTGAACATTGTATTTTAACACGTTGGTAGGTCATCCACTGAAATACCAAAGGGACATATCTGCTAGATTCAATAGAATGGCATTGTCCAAGAAGTTAACTCAATGAGCTGTTAAGCCCAGGCATGTTTTTTCTTGACTCCTGTTGGGTTTCCCAATCAACTGTGGAAACTTATCTTTGTTGACTTGACTTACAGTTTCTACAAGTTGTTTTTTCTTTCTTTCTTTCTTTCTTTCTTTCTTTCTTTCTTTCTTTCTTTCTTTCTTCTTTTTCTTTCTTTCTTCTTTCTTCTTTCTTTTCTCCCCTTCTTGAGTTTTATTATATTTTTGGTGCTTGGTCAAGTCTGTTGGTTGCTTTCTGGAACCAAGAGCAAGGAGGAATGGTGTAGTAGGCTGTCTTGACTGTGCAGTCAGTTGAGCACCTTGTGTGTACATGAATTTAATTTGTGTGTAGCCAATAAATGTTTCCTAGTTGATTGCAACAATGACTGGTAATCTGTATGGTCTTGCCATTTAACAACCTGCAAGGGAGATCTATTCTTTGTCAGGTAAGAGACAACAGAGAATCTGACTTGTTTTTCTGTTTGACTGTTTGTGAACTCATCAACTAAGAAAACATTTTTCTGTTCATTGGAAAGGAGACTAGCCTTTTGATATCTGAACTGTGGAGTTTTCATGTTCTGTGTTTAC